TCCACTCACCTCAGCCTCCCAAAGGCGCGGGATTACAGGCTGAGCCACCGATCCCGGCTGTATTTCTTAATTTAAAAAGGACACTTCCTTAACACCTTATTGTTTTGATGGGCACAGGTGTTTTGATGGACACAGGCAGAACACATAGCACCAAAAGGCCACACTTTTCCATTCAAACCAGAACTTTCTTTGAAGGCAGCAATAAGGCAACAGAATTCCAAGAAACAAGAAGGCCCCCTTGTCTTTTCTCACTTGTGACATCCCCCCTTACTAGCCCACCACTTAGGCTGAAAGTGATGGAAAAAAGAGTTGCCCACAATTCCTTCTTTATTCATCAGCAAGATAGGGTACTGGAAGAATGAGTTCACACAAAAAATGGAATCAAAACAATTTAGTTCTGTGCAATACCCTCCCTGTTCTGTTAGGAACAGAAGATATGTAACAAACTCCAAATAGGAGTTGTGTATTTCCAGTGATTCCACGTACCAGTTAAGCTTTATGGGTAAACAATTCCAGCACTCTGAGAGACTGAGGTGGATTACCTGAGTTTAGGAGTTCAAGACTAGCTTGGACAACATAGCAAGACCCCATTCTACTTAATAAAAATAAATTAGCCAGGCATGGTGCCATGTGCCTGTAGTCCCAGCTACTCAAGGGGCTTGAGTCTAGGAGTTTGAGATGTAGTGAATCATTGTGCCACTGCACTCCAGCCTGGGCGACAGAGGAAGATCTTGTCTCTTAAAAAAAAAAAAAATTGCCGGGCTCGGTGGCTCAGCCTGTAATCCCGCGCCTTCGGGAGGCTGAGGTGAGTGGATTGCCTGAGCCCGCGGGTTCAAGACCCGCCTGGGCAACTTGGCGAGACCTCATCTCTACAATAAATCAAAAAATTATACGGGTTCGGTGGCTCAGCCTGTAATCCTGCGGCTTTGGGAGGCTGAGGTGAGTGAATTGCCTGAGCCCGCGGGTTCGAGACCCGCATGGGCAGCGAGACCTCATCTCTACAATAAATAAAAAAATCAGCCGGACATGGTGGCGCATGCCTGTAATTCCGGCTACTTGGAAAGGCTGA